ATTCTCCAATATGAAAAATCATTCTTCCCATTGAATTTCTCTATCTCATACTTCTCAATCTTCACTGTTCCTCTAGTAGACATTATTTATCTACTTGTTTACCGGAAATAAAACAACAAAGTTCACTTGGGAATTTTCACAAATACCTTGTGTGCACAACAAAGTTCAAACCACCCACCAAAAATTGGAGCTTAACCACCCTGATTTAAGAAGAAGCTCTGATACCAAATTGTTGAGAAAAAACAATTCCCAAGATTGCCCAAGAACAAATAAACTTGCAATGTGAAAATCCCAACTTACTTGAAGATGAAAGGAAAGATAAGAAAATTGGGGAAGAAATGATTTTCAATATATATGAAGAACAATGGATTAGATTACTTGAACAAGCCTCAAGTAAATCCCCAAGAAAGAAAAATAGCTTTGAATTTATACCCAAGAAGAACAACCTCTTACTTGTTAAATTCTCTCCAATCACTCTCTTATATTTTTCTCTCTAAAACCAGATCTATTTTAATGAAGGGAAAAAATAGCTATATATATAGCTGAGTCGGGCACCATGGCGCCCGCCTCCCTGCTCCTTTCTTTCTCACAGACATAATCATAACTGGTTCGGATTACAAAGCTGTCGATTCCTTGAAATCCCTATTACACAGTCTATTCAAATTAAAAGATATTGGACAATTGAAATATTTCCTTGGCTTGGAGAGTGGTTGCTCACACAAAGAAATCTTCATTTCTCGAAGGCATTACACACTGCAACTGTTGGAAGATATTGGCTTTTTGGCTTGTAAGACAGCCCTCTTACCCATAGATCCCAAAGTTAAGCTTTGCTCATTTGAGGGAGAGCTCTTTCCTGATGCTTCCAGTTAAAGAAAACTGATTGGTCTTCTAATGTACTTAACTATATCTAGATCAGATATCGCCTTTGCAGTTCACAAGTTGATTCAGTTTGTTGCTCAACCTAGAAAACCTCATTTAAATCATGTTCATCATCTTTTGCAATACCTCAAAGCTACTCCAGGACAGGGCTGCTATTTTCAACTCATTCTTCCCTCCAGCTTCGCACAAGGAAATTAGTAATATGTTTTTACATCTTTCTTCGTGATTTTTTGGTGCCTTGGAAAGCTAAGAAACAAAGCATATTGTCTAGGTCATTAGCTGTGGCAGAATATCGTGCCTTGACATCCACAACCAGTGAACTCATTTGGATATCCCAGCTGCTTCAAGACTTTTAGATTTTGCCCAATGCTCATGCTCTCATCTTTTGTGACAATCAAGCCACCATACACGTTGCAAGCAATCACATCTTTCATGAGCAAACCAAACATATCGAAATATATTTCCATTTCATTCGAGACAAGATTACCGATGGATTTGTCAAATTGATAATAGTTCAACACAAAACCAGTTGGTCAATATCTTTACCAAGCCTCTTCCTGCCAACCTATTGTTCCATTTATTATCCAAGATGGCCTTCATCAATCCTCATTGTCCATCTTGAGGAGGAGTAACTGAATATACTTAGTAGCAGCTCAGGAAGAAAGTTGACGATAGTTTGCAGTGGTCCAGCTCCAACTCAATCTGCACAAGCTTAATCCATTTAGGCTGTTAGTTAGTTAGTTCTGGTAGTTATATACACCTGTCATATTTATATTGATCGTACAATTAGTCTGTTAGTTAGAGTTTCCTATTTATAGACGAATGTAATGCATACTATGGTGAGAAATTCAATTCGGTAATATCATATTCTTCTGCATTTCAATAGATAATTAGCACATGGATCTTACTACATGTATATCAAGTTTTATATAATGGGTTATATAATGCTACATGTCATTCTATCATTTGTCAGTTTAAGACAGAGTTTTTTCATCCAATCTTTTTCATCCACTTCATTTTATGTAATCCCTTATGTACCATTTTTTATGTACAAGTAACATAATCCATGAGCATATATTATTACTTTTCATTATTATTGTGGAAAACGTTTGTACTTTTCATTTTTCGACATTTTCACTCTCATTTCAACATTTCATAACTCAAAAGGTCATTTTAATCAATTTTCTCAATTAAAAACTATGAAATTATGAATATACCGTTCTATTTAAATAAAACAAAAAGAAAAAGAAATAATTAATTACAATCATAGTCCCTCGTGATTTAAAAAATGCAAATGATTCCCTAGTAAATTATTAAAAGTTTAATTAGCACATAATGTCTCTTACCTTTCACTATTATTGTGAAAAAGGTCCTTACCTTTTATTTTTTTGGGTATTTTCACCCTTAATTATAGTTTTAATTGAGCAAAATATCATTTCTATCCATTTTCTCAATAAAAGCTGTGAAATGATAAATATACCCTCCTATTTATTTTTTTTATTTTTTTAAATAATAATAATGAGCCCTGGATCTCTATGTAATAGCATGTAATTTGTATATCATTATCGTGAGCTGAGTTGTAGCCTAATTGTATACCATATTTGATTTAATATGTGATTAGTAAGTAAATAAATTCATTTAATACTAATAAACTCCATCAAATGTCACACTCATGTCTCCGATTAATAAAAAAGTGTTTTTTAAATAGTCCACGATATACCAAGTGATGTTAGAAATGAACTGATGTAAACGATATTTTTCATTAATAGTTACCTTATTCAAATTTATAAATGAAAATTGAAATCTCCATTTGACTTGATTTTGGAATAAGAAAAGTTTTTGAATTATTTTTCTCTTTCAATCTGACATCATATTTAGCGTAGCGTGATATTTTAAAAAGCTAGAGATGTAAGGATTAAACGCTAACAATCAAAGTCGTGATTTCTTTCTCTTTTCGATAGGGTAACTTAGCCCACACAATTTATATGTTAGGCTGAATTTGAATGAATTTTTCATAAGAGAAGAGCATGAAATTCTTTTGCTTTCTTGAATCCTGAAAAAAGCTAATTTGAATGGTTTAAAAAAGTTTTAAAGAAATTATGTCTATTTTCTTTATTAGAGTTCATACAAAAATAGGTCCACAGATATCCCAATTTTAACTATAAATATTAAACAACTAAATAAAAAGTTCTATCAATAGCATGACAAAATTTAATGGAGTTATCTTTAGGGTGGACATTTTTATCATATAGGAATCGATTCGAAAATCGAGAATCGTTTAGATTTCGAATAGTTCTTGGTCTTTAAATCGAAATAGTGGGTAACTCGCTTTGGAATCAAATTTGTCATTTTAAATTTTTTATTTTTATTTTTTTACAATTAATTCACCATAACCCAATGGTCCGATGTAATGCAAAGGGAACGATGAGATGGAAAGAAAAGTTGAGATTATTGATTGTTATGTTATTTTTAGAGAAGTTAATTTATGCTGTTTTTATTATTTGTAGAAGTTGGTACTTATTGTTTGTTTCTAGCATTAGGTTCGTTATTTGGGTAATATTAGATGTTATTTGATCCATATTTTATTTCTTCTATTTCTGGTAGATATTGAAAAAATAATTTGTATTATTAGTTCACATTTAGCCCCCGTTTGGTCTCTATTAAAATTACAATATATTTTTCTCTATCTTCTTTTCAATCATACATTTTTCAATAAAATAATATTAAACGTAAATCGAAATTTTTTTCGTCTTTTTCAATCATTCATTCTAAAAAAACACTATTCTAAAAATTATAATACCAAACAATAGAGGCCAAAAGGGGACTTAAAAAGACATGTTATGTGTAGAACCCAACCTGTCTTGGTGATATATTTATTTCTTCTAGTTTTGTTAGATATTGAGTTATCAGCTCATAATTTTTTGAACATTTACAAATTGAATCTCTAATTTAAAACCATAATCTCAATCTATGCAAAAAGTAAGAGTACAAAACTTGTAAATTTTCTACAAAGGAGAGATGGACGAATTTTGTCCATATATCCTCCAACTACAATCGAGATGAAATGTTTGGATCTGTAGGTGTAAAAATGAAAAAGTCATATGGTTTACAACAAATTAAAAGGTTTGCTACAAATCAAAGAATATCGAAAGCAAAAGCATTAAAATTAAAGTTGTTATAAATTCAAAGAAGATCAGGATTACAACGTATTTCCGAACTCACATCTCTTCGTTCTCACTCTAATACACCAAAAGAAGCTCTTCCTAACCCTTTATACATGAGAAAATATTAGAATAACCTGATATATGTGCAAATTTTCTAAAGAAAAGTACACTATATTAAGCTCCACACATCCAACATCATAAACACACCCAAGTGACACTATGCATTATTCATTCGGCGATCCACACCATTTAGTACCCCACTATTTAAGCAGTTAATTATCCTTCTATAAAAATTTGAAGCAATGTTCCCATTATGCCAAATAATAAAAGAATAAACCATTCCAAGCAATGATACTTCCACTGAAGTATAAACCAATCTAACAAAATTTCCAACTTAAAAGAGTAAAATGTAAAATCTATGCTACAATTAGGCTAACTGCACTGAAGTTATCCTCGGCTTCTGTACACAATCTTCTCTGTAAAGCAAGCGTCTATTCCGCAAACCATAACCCTGGTACTGGTAGATGAGGCTCTGTAAGCAATGCCTTAGACAAGAAATATCGTAAGTCTCAAGAAATCTCAAGTCAGTCTCCCTCGATTTTATGCCAGCGAAGTTCTTGTACTCTTCCAAAATTGAAGACAAACACCAGTTCTGCAACTTCCTTAAGCAACCCACAAGACACCCTGTCCGATGCTGCAGGGTGGAAACATTTATATGAGCAGCTGTAGCCATTTGGAAGATGAAAAACCTTATTGACTCCATAAAAAGGCACACAAGGTTAAGATCAATGCTTCAAACATTTATATTTTAATATGGATATTATACTATCTGTGAAGCTTTAAAAAAGGTAAAATTTACTTTTAATTAATACTAATAAGTTTTCTTTTAAGGCTTGGCCAGACATGCTCTAATTAACAAAGGTGCTATATATTGGTCAAGCCAAGACATTGATCACTCTCAGATTAGACATGCAATCCCCACTTGAATTGGACCCTATTTCGAGAACAATCAAGTAGAAGAGCCATCGAAATGCATCATTTGAGGATCATGACAAACTTGATCAATCTATCAGTCTAATAATTCTTAGTCATCAATAGGCCGAATATTGATTATGGGGGGTGTTTGAACCACATTATTTTGATAATAATGCATTCTTGAATAGTATATTGATGGGAAATGTGTGGTTAAAAAATAAGGAAAAGTTTTTTATCTACGTGTAATATTATTTTATTAAAGAATGTGTGGTTGAAACGATGTCAAATCATTGTTTAAGAATATATTTTTTTGGAATAATGTGGCTCAAACAGGCCCTATATAAAGTTTCAATAAATAACAAATAACAGTTCGCCCAACTAAGAGTTTTCGTTATATGCAAAAGATAATACATTTAAAGAAACACATTTTGATCCGATTAATTTTCTCAATGATCTTAGCATCTTTATGGCCTGCATTTTTGTTTGATAAGTGAAGTCCAAGAAACGCAAAACTTGGTATGCTAAGAGACAAAGATGTTCATTTATCTAGCTGGTACAAACCCCAAAGACAAACGTGAAGCATAAATGAAATTTTAAACACACATATTCTAGACTAAAGACGATAGTTTTAAGAAAAGTAATGCAGAATATACCTTTCCACGTCTGCAGTGGATGAGAATTGGATGATTTCTCACGTCTAAATTATGAAAAAAAAAATTCAAAAATTAGTGAAGAACTTATATCCATGTGTGTGTTCCGAAACATATAAAAAATATCCATGTGTACCAATTAAAACTTTTAAAGCTTCAGTAATAGTACTCCTTGGAATGGCTGATGGCTCCTGAAAGCATACAAGTCTTAAAAGTTAGAAAACTGACGACGCAAATGAAAAATAACAAAGATTACATGCATCTGTTTTGAGAGTGGTTTGACTGACAAAAATCAATATCTGATTTCGAGTGCCCTTCAAGAAGTACAATATCCCACCCAAATTCCTCTCACTTCACGTAATCACACTTCCAAATCATGGGACCTTAAGAAAGAAGTTACTTGGGGGACTAAAAGTAACTTCAAATAAAAATGGTCAAACCATTGAAGAGAACCAAATAACATTATCCTTCCATATACAGCCGGAAGACAGTAAATTAAATAAAATTCTCAATGCCCACTTGCCCAGGTTGGATAAATTCCAAGCTAACCAGGATTTTAAACAACTTGTGAAATATGATGTACGACACATCAAAATCCAAACAACGTGGTGTTGGATGACTAATTTAGAAATCAACATTGATTGGCTTCACTCATTAGGATAATTTAGTACCCTTTATAGTGGGCACCACTAGCTGTGGACAATGTAAGGAACAATATTTTAGCTTTTACTTTCCATTTTCAGTAGTGTCTATTACAACCGAATCCACTGCATCTCCACATATAATATCAAACATCCAAAGCCTACAGATACAAGAATATGCTAAGATTGTGATTTATAATCCATATATGTAAATTAATAATTTAAGTGACAAAAAAAGGAGAGAGGAAAAATACATAACACACATACCTTGGTGCCATCAATTCCAAATTGGAAGAGCTTAACTTTATTGGATTGAAGAAATTGCCAGTTCTCTTCTGGGTATGGTTCAGGACACAAATATCTGCAAAGCCCATAAAAATTATAATAACTTCCACCCTCAATTCAAAAACCAACCCACAAATTCAAGAACATTAAATAATAATAATGATGACAATAACAATAACAAGAATAATAATTAAAAAAAATTGTCTCACAAGATGGAACGAAGTTTGAGGGAACGAAGAAAAGGAAGATTGGACGGCTGCGGGAAGCCCGAACGGTAAACGGTGTTATCTACCACCGTCGAAAAATTCGTTGGCGGCAATAATACGGCGCCGGCGTTTGGCTGTGTCAATGTCGGTCCCCCTTCTTCTCCTTCTTCAAGTATTACACCCATCCAATTAACCAAAAAATTTCTTTGGTTTTCTTGTTCTTGATTGATTTGGGGTTTTCTCGAAGTCAATGCATTGCCATTATAAATCAAGAACAAAAAGAAGAAGAAAGAGTTAGAGGGAAACAGGGAGTCGTGAACAAACTTTGAAGGTAGTTAGGATTCTAATCTATCGGAATTTTAATTTATTTCCCTGTTCTTTTTCGGGCAAAGTATGCGGATACTTTTACTGTTGAGATATTTCTATAAAATTGCATAGATGTTCTTAATCTATGATTTTTGTACTAAATTGGTCATTATATTTTCACGTTTTTTACAACCGTCTCAACTCCTTTCATAACCCCTAAAACATGAGGAACATTGCACGGAAAATTTGGTGGCGATAATATAAAATAATTTGAGTAAAAAGAAAAAAAATGGACAATCGACCACTCCTACTTCTCCATCCTTGCTCTTGTTGGTCGTCCACATTTCCTTTCTCTACCCTCTTTCACCTTCTCTTGTTTGCTCCTTCTGTGGTCCTTGTACCTAGTCCCTTTCATTTTTCATTTTTATTTATTTAGTTTTTTTGTTAATTAATAATAAGGGTGCCATGATGATCAAGTTGACAATAAACCATCAATTGTGGGGTTAAGTTGCAAAAAAATGGAAAGGTTGAGATACAACCGTGCTTTGCTACAACAAAAATAAGCTGAGGTCTCTCTATTTCAATTTTATTTGGTAAAAATAGATTTTGAGGTTTATTATTTGGTGAAAATAGATTTTGAATTAATATAATTTTGGAGATTGTGTGTTTAAAATGATGAATTTTTTTTTTTTTAATTTGTGTGCAATATTGCCCTTGTTTGAGCCCCATTTTGGGGGTAAGAATGAATTTCACAAACACTTTTTTGATTATGGATCTACTACCAGAAATTCAATGCGTAATTTTAGCATTCAATGTGTATTCCTGAATAATCTCATTTTTCAATTATTATTGATATGAAATGCGTGGTTAAAAAATAAGGAAAAATTTTAAATTTACGTGTAATATTATTTTATTAAAGAATATGTGGTTAAAATAATGTTAAAATACTGTTGAAAAATACATTTTTTAAAAGAATGAGACTCAAACAGAAACATTATTTTATTAAGAGAATATGTGATTGAAAATGAATTTAGAAAAAAATATATCATTAAAAAATGGGGCTCAAACAAGTTAATATTATTTTTGTTTTGAAAAATAAAATCTCCTATAAAATGAATTGTCTAAAATTAGTTGTTTAATTATTTATCATCCTAAAGCATGTAAATTAGAAATTGCAAAGGCTAATAGATTGAAAATCTAAACCTTTCTCCGATAGCTCCTTTTTGTGTATCAACACAATGTTGGTATTAGTCCTGCTGTTTGTACAGAAAAATCATGTCAGAATTTTACCAGAATATACATGATAGATTTCTGTTAAACATGACAAAGAAAAAAAAACAAACCAACCAAACACAGCCACATATGCTTTTGGTGAAATTCTGGTAATTGTATTTTTGTACAAATAGATTTATTGTGTTCGTATTTATTGCCCCCAACTGACCTACCATCATTCAGGATTAGTAAATTGCATTATCGTCGATATTGTCAAAGGCATCTTTCTTTGTATATGCACACTAAAGTGTCACTAAAAAAAAATAATAATAATAATAAGATCAAATCCAAAAACAATAAAATGAATAGATTTACCGTACCTGTGCCAAAAAATAGGTATTATCTTTACGTATTTTTTAACAACACATTAGAAAAATTATCTTATTCTCAAAAAGAAGCTCAAACATGGAATTAATTTTTAATATATATTTTATATGAGTAACATCTATACTAGGTTTAATTTAAAATATTAATAACTCTAATATAGAATCATGCTTGACATATAATCATGGATTGCAGTCTTGTTGACAATATGTCACTTGACAAATTATCATTGAATAGTTTGAAAAACTTGTTTTTGCAACTAATAAATTTTTGACAACTCACATTTTTGGGTTGTGCTTATATAGTATATTTTGCCATCATAAAATAATAATTTATAATTATAAATAAATTGTGGTTTTATTTATTTATTGTATTTATTTATTATGAGTATGCGAATTAAAGTACCTATGATAACTTGCGATAATATAAGTTAGATGTTTATGTTGAGAAGTACAATGTAACGCAATTTATATTTTGATCATAAATAATTGTTCACAATCAAATGAGGGTTATCACATTGTACTGGAAGGTTATAGTGTTGACTCATCCATTATTTGGATTTGTGATTTATCGTTATCACATAAATAGTTAAAGATGAGACTAGTATGTTTGGAGTATATTGAACAGACCACGTGTCGAGTTTAATTGTATAACATGACTGTGCAGAGAATTAAATTTAATTTGATTGCTATGTATTTCATCTAAATTCTTTGACATTGATATATATATTTTTCATAATTTTAATTGTTCCTTGATTTATTAATAGGTGAGATCAATTTGACTCGTCAAATATTTCGGTGAGTTGGGAGCTTAAAAGTGAGCTAAGTAGAGAACATAAATTTTTCTTAGGAACCCTCATCTTGAAAAGTGGTTAAAGTGATTATTTAAGTATTTTCCTATTAAATGATTAAAATCTAAACTCAGTGTTTAGCGATAACTGAACATCAACATTTTTTATTAATTCATGGAACAGTTGAAGAAAATGACGTTTGTGAGAATAATTAGAGTGACAAAATGATTATTTATGTACATACTTAATTATCGAATCTCGGATAGGGATAAACTACATATACGACAGATCAGATGAAAGTATTATAGATTTATTGATTTTCGTGATCTTATATATTCCAAGAGTTTGGTCTTTTGCATTTGATGAAAAAGTAAAAAGACTAATAATTAGATTGTGTGATCTAGGGTCAACTAAACAAGATCTAGTTATCGAAGCTTGGATAATATGTATCCGATCATGTTCATGTTGTAGCTCTATAAAGTATTGGAACTTTATTACGATAATTATAATAGTTTTAAATTTAATTGTAATTATAATAAAGTTTTGTACTTAGTTGTAATTTTAGCCCCATTTGATTTCCATTTTTTGACCACAAAAATGAAATATATGACCGTTATCTATCCATCAAGCCACCATATTTGACTTTCTATTTCTTGTGTGAGTCCCGTAATGACTATATTTTTCATTCTCATTATTAGAAAAATGGGAATCAAACGAGCTCTTAATTATACTTGTAATTGAAAATGCAAAACTAATTGGATTTGAACTTTAATTTACTCAAATGTGAAATTATTATTGTACAATGATTGAAACCATTCTATCTTTATAAATATAAATTAGATGAAAGTCAGACATAAAACAAAAAAGAACAATCATAATAAATAAGTTTATAATATTCAAATTTTAGAGAGAAAAGTTATTTTTTCAACGGTCCAATCTAGTCTTGACTTTGAATAATACCATAGAAGATTTGAAGGTTTGAAGTATCAATTCCCTAGAATTAAAAACAAAAGCCGAAAGCTCATGATCCAAAATACCGAAAGTTCGTGATTCAATTTTTTTTTTAAAGAATTAACAATTGAACTTAGGTAAAAATTCGAATCCTTTATTTTTTTTTTATAACACTAGTGGGGTGAACGTGCATTGCACGTTAATTGCGAAATGTGAAAAATAAGGGTCGTTTGATTGCAATAATG